TTTATTGTATAATTTTGAGCACTCATAAAAATAGGCCAAATATACATCACCTTAGGGAATATTTTAAACACTTTCTAGCAGATGACAACAGTTACTGGGTTAAAAATTTCACCTCTGCATATGTGAGATCTCAGCACACACCATGGGGCACTCAAAATCTGTTTTTTGGTGGTTAAAGTGAATGTTCTGTTTACCTGGCCTAAAATTCTAACCACAAATTGCAAACCATACCCCAGCCGGGATTGAACCCGCGGTCAGAGATTTGTCTGTAAAAACTTGCATTTGTGGTCACAGTGGTGCCTGTGCTAACCTTCCTATGGTGTAGAAATATACCTAGTTGGACGAATCTTATTGTGGCTAGCTGGTCTAGTGGCTAACGCGACAGGCTGGAGTTTTGAGACTCTCTGACCGCGGGTTCAATCCCGGCCAGGGTATGGTTTGTTTGCAATCGTGTCATTACGATTTCGTGAGTCATGTTGACGGCAGTGAAGGGACTTGAGCTAGAGTTTGTCACGGCCACGCTAGCTGGAGATTCGTCTGTAAAAACTTGCATTTGTGGTCACAGTGGTGCCTGTGCTAACCTTCCTATGGTGTAGAAATATACCTAGTTGGACAAATCTTATTGTGGCTAGCTGGTCTAGTGGCTAACGCGGCGGGCTGGAGTTTTGAGACTCTTTGACCGCGGGTTCAATCCCGGCCGGGGTATGGTTTGTTTGCAATCGTGTCATTACGATTTTGTGAGTCACAAATTGCAGATTCAAAATGTACATGCCTAAAGAATTAAGTTAATATAGAGATCCGGGACTGTAATTGAATAGTTACAGACTTACATTTTGAATAAAAACAAACAGGCTTATACAGGTGGCCCTCCACATTCGCGAGTTCCACTTTTGCAAGCTTCGAACATTTGCAAATGCCCAGCTGCCCAATGATATTTATGTTTTCTCACCCTTGAAAAACTAGGGCAAGCGATGAAAATGACAGCATAGCTCAAACAATTTTTTTACAACACAGACCCATTGATGTTGAGGGCTTTGAAGGTGATGAACGACATTAATAGGAGCATAATTCCTTACAAAACTCTGTTTGAAGATATAAAGAGGAAATGGTCTCAGTTGCCCATCACAATGTTCTTCACAAGGAATCCTGCCACTACTCCCGTTGCTAACTCTGGCTCTAGCAATATCAATGATCCACTACCTATTATTGGCAGTGATGGTGGCAGTGAAGAGTTAGAATCCACACACTAGACTCATCATGCCATGCAGTTACACTCCATATAATCACCTCCATTCAACTGTCATCAGTAACTGCATGGCTATCATCACCATCATCATCGTCATTGTCACCATCATTATCACAAGTCATCAGAGTTTGTCTGCTTAACCTTATGAGTGGTGAGTGCTTTGTTTGTTCATTATTTGTTATTAAACCATAACATGTATATACAATACATGTATGTATTTTACGATGTTTTCATGTGCTTTATGATTGTTCATGGTTCAGTAGGTTAAGGAAGCAGTATTGTTAGGCTAAGAAAGGCAGGGGTGCCACTAGCACGATAAGAGACCCCTGGCTTTCTTCAAGCAGGCACTGGACAGGCACCTAAAGTCAGTACCTGACCAGCCGGGTTGTGGTTCGCATGTTGGATTATGTGCAGCCAGTAGTAACAGCCTGGTTGATCAGACCCTGATCCACCACGAGGCCTGGTCACAGACCAGGCCGTGGGGGCGTTGAACCCTGGAACTCTCTCCATGTATACTCCAGGTAAGTAATGCTATTATTATATTTCCCCACAATATATTTGTGCACCAAACATTCACGAATTTTCAACATTCGCGAGGTTCTTGATCCCCCAACCTTCACGAATGTGGAGGGCCACCTGTACAGTATTAGACTAATTCTAAATTAATTTTAAGAAAACTGGGTGAATGAGCTTATAGTTATTGACATTTATAGGAGATGGTAATGTTGAAGCAGTAATATATTGAGCAAAAAGAAAGTATATGTAGTTACTTAGTTAAGACTGTTTATACTACATTTCTGAAGAAGCAGCACTATTTTGTTAATAAGCATCTTATGAAGCCAATGTGAAAAATATACTTCTTAATAGTGATCCAAGTACCAACTGAACAGTTCAGCGAGTTAATGAACACAACCAGCTTCTCTGAACAAACAAAAACAGTAAAAAGAGCTTGTTAATATTTTTCTCTTTTATGCAGTTCAAATCGATTAATACTGGGGGTTAGATTCTTAAAAACTGGCACTTTTATTCAAACTAAAAACTTATGAAAAAAATAGGTTATGTTCACATGAAAAAAAAAAAAAGACACAGCTTTGTTGAACTAGCATAAAAAAGTCAAAGGAAACAACTTAATCTTACCTTAAATTTTGACAGTTGTTACAGCCAGAATGTGTAGACAGTGTTAGTATAGCCCTGTATTATACCTGCACTTTAACCTGTTGCCCCAGCCCACCTAGCAGTCATTAGGTCCCTGGGCATTGAAGGTAGCTTTGTTGAATTATCCTGGATTACTAACCCTTCAGGGTTAGTAATAAAATTATCTGCACTAACCATTGACAAAAATCCATATTGGAGTTGGCATGTCTGTGTATAATACCTTTACATACATCACCAACCATCATCCAGCCTCAATATTAGTAAATAAACCACAATAACAAGGGTTAATACAGTTGTGTCCTTCATATGTTCTGCCATCAGTGGCCTGGGTGAAGCCTCTGGCTGACTCAGTTGAGTGTGTATGTAATGGTAAATGGTATGGGAATACTATCATGTTGTATTTGATAAAGGCTTAAACAGTAACTGGAGACTTTGTTAAGACTAGTAGTAGTAGTATTAATAAAGTTTCCAGTTGCTTGTGAGTCTATCACTACAACATGAGTAATCCAGCCACAGAAAATGCACATAACATCCCTTCCAGAGAAAAATGAACAGGACTCAAATGGTATATATAATATACGGTGTACAAGAATGGTATACAATACCGACAGGATGAAATTAAGACACGTGCAACATCTGGGTATCTTTATTGTAGACGTTTTGCCGTCCAATGACTTTATCAATACAAATTCCAGACATAATTTGAAGACAGTAGAACTGTATACAGAAGATGAGGTAATCCGTCCCTCAGCCTTGGAGTTGGTGCAAAAAGCACCGTAGTCGTGGAAGTTCCACGACTACGGTGCTCTTTGCACCAACTCCAAGGCTGAGGGACTGATTACCTCATCTTCTGTATATAGTTCTACTGTCTTCAAATTATGTCCTGGAATTTGTATTAATAAAGGCACTGGATGGCAAAACGTCTACAATAAAGATATCCAGATGTTGCACATGTGTCTTAATTTCATCATAATATACGGTGGTTCTAAACCACACAATAACTGAAAAAACAGCAACACAGTGGTGATCATGCTGTACATTCACTACAGAACATGTTTGTTTAAAATAAAGAGAAAATATGGCAAGAAAGAATTGTACCTTACCTTCAATTCCTTGTTTCTTTTGCTTGCTGCATAAGCATGGATGGAGATGGTTTATGTGGCTTCTGGGCTGAGGTGGATGGTTGTGGGTTGTATGTTGATGTTACTGGCGAGTTGTATGAAGTTGCTGGTGGTCTAAGGCAGTAAAGAATTATATAATGTGCTTCTACTATTTTACCCTCCAGTTCCTTATAAAGCTGATGATATGGCTTCATTAGCTGCTCCAGGCTCCACTTCAAAACAAGGCTTATAGATGCGTCAGGGTCATTTTCAGTGAAAAAACCTGCAAGCTTAGCAGTAACATAAACAATGGCCTGGCCCACTGGCCAAGCCATTGTTTATTTTGCTGCAAGCCCACCAGCAGTTACCTGCATCCGTAGGGAAATTAGTGCTACATGAGAATGCATTATCCATGAGTGTACTGTAATTACTGTACATAAAAATATATGGTGGTGAATAAATATTAGTAAATAACCATTATATATATATTTATTGATTTTCCTGAGCATAATCAATACAAGACAACCTATTACACTTTTTATTATTATTATTATTATTATCATCAAACAGAAGTTTGAGTACTATATAATTATAAAGTACTGTATTACTTATATGGATGTCCTTTTACAAGTACAGTGGACCCCTGAGTTTCGTGATTAATCCGTTCCCGAGAGTCTGCCGAATGATGAAATTGCCGAATGGTGAAACCATTTTCCCCATAAGAAATAATGGAAATAAAATTAATCCGTTCCAGACACCCAAAAATATTAAAATAATTTTTTTTTTTTTTCAAATTAAATAGAGATTTAAATTCTGAAAACAATGAGAAATCAAGTACATACATATAAAATAATAATAACATTACGCTTACCTTTACTGAAGACTTCTGGGTGGATGGAAGATGGGAGAAGGGGATAGGAGGAAGGTGTACACTATTGTTTGGAAGGAGAATCTCCTTCCATTAGGACTTCAGGTACCAAGTCCTTATCTGGAGTTACTTCCCTTCTTTGTTTTTTAAAGACACTGGGAACAACTTGAGATGCACTGGACCCCTGTCGCACAAAATATCTGTCCAGAGAGCTCTGTTTCTGGCGTTTCTTTAAGATTTGTCTGAAGTGGGACACAACACTGTCATTGTACATGTTGCCAATACGGCCTGCAACAGCTTTGTTAGGGTGAAGTTCATCCAAAAATGTTTGCGCTTCAGCTCACTTTGCACAAATGTCCTTAATCTTTGAAGAAGGCACCTTCCTCCATCTCTCTTCCTCCTCCTCTGCAGCAATTTCCTGAGCTGTGATCTCTTGCTGTTGCAGATGAAGCTCTTGCAGCTCTTCAGTGTTAGCTCTTCCCTGTGGTCCTCCACCAACTTTTCTACATCCTCGCCACTCACATCCAACCCCAGGGACTTCCCCAATGCCACAATAGATTCCACAACTGGAATAGGCTCCTTAGGGTCAGCCCCAAACCCTTCAAAATCCCTCTCTTGTACACATTCTGGCCACAATTTTCTTCAAGCAAAATTCAAAGTTCTGCAAGTCACTCCTTCCCAAGCCTTACCTATAAGGTTTATGCAAGTGGGTCAATTCAGTGTCTGAGGTCACTTCAAAGCACTTTTGAAATACTGCTTTGGTGTATAGTTTTTTGAAGTTTGAAATGACCTGCTGGTCCATGGGCTGGATGAGAGGAGTTTTATTAGGGAGCAAGAACTTCACCGTGATGAAACTAAACTCCTCCACTATTTGCTTTTCCAAGTCTGGAGGATGAGCAGGAGCATTGTCCATTACCAGGAGGCACTTGAGTGGCAATTTATTTTCCAGGAGGTATTTCTTCACACTGGGGCCAAACATTTCATTAAACCAGTCTAGAAAAATTCCCCTTGTGACCCATGCCTTATTGTTAGCCTTCCACATCACACACAAATTACTCTTGGCGACACTGTTTTTCTTGAACACTGGGATTTTCAGAGTGATACACCAGTAAAGGGTTCACTTTGCAATCCCCACTAGCATTACTACAAAACATGAGAGTAAGCCTATCCTTCATAGGCTTGTGTCCTGGGAGTGCCGTTTCCTATTGCGTGATGTAGGTCCTCTTTGGCATTTTCTTCCAAAAGAGGCCTATTTCGTCACAATTAAACACTCATTGGGGTTTGAATTCTCCAGTGTCTACACACTTCTTAAACTCCTGTACAAACTTCTCAGCTGCTTTTTTGTCAGAACTGGCAGCCTCACCATGCCTTATCACACTGTGAATGCCACTACGCTTCTTAAATCTCTCAAACCAACCTTTGCTGGCCTTAAAATCACAAGCATCACCACTTGTTGCAGGCATTTTCTTTACGAGATCGTCATGCAACTGCCTTGCCTTTTCACATATTATCGACTGCATAATACTATCTCCTGCTAACTGTTTTTGGGTAATCCACACTAACAATAACCTTTGCACTTCTTCAAGGATTTGCAATCTCTTTTTTGTCAGCATATCTATCCCTTTTGCAACAGCAGCACACTTTATTTCCTTTCCCTTCGCCACGATCGAAGTGATAGTTGAATGGGGCTTGCCATACATCCTGGCAAGTTCTGTAACACGCACTCCACTCTCATATTTCTCAATGATTTCCTTCTTGAATTCATCGTGTTCCTCGCTTTCTTTACCAAAGGGCTTGCACTAGCTTTCCTTGGGTCTATGGTGACTTATTTAGCAGTTGCAAGCACAAATAACAATGAATTATTATGAAATGTATTGTATGAATCCACGGGGTGATGGTCACGTGCTGGTAAACAATGGCACACTGAGTGTGAATGGTACGGGAGACTGGCTTTGTGTGCGCGGTGACGGGCGGACAGGTACCAGACGGTTGCCGAATCACGAGTCCAATCACGAATCGCGAGGCTAAATTTTGCCAAAAAAACTTGCCGAAAGTTGGATTTCACGAAAGTCAATGCCGACGAAACTCAGGGGTCCACTGTACAATAGTAATCTCTTGAATAAATCAAATGACAAAGCTAATATTGTTATGTCATTAATCAAGTGAATACAGTATTTATGAAGTGTAATGTCAATAAAATAATAAAAATATACAATAAGTAGATGACAAGTGAAGGACTTCCGTATCCTCGCAGATACGGGGGTCTTACTGTATATATGAATTATTATTTATTTCTTCTTTCAACAAACCAGCTGTATCTCACTGAGGCAGGGTGGCCCCAAAAGAAAAACAAAAGTTTCTTTTTTTGGCATTAGTAATGTATACAGGAGAAGGGGTTACTAGCCCTTGCTCCCGGCATTTTAGTCGCCTCTTATGACATGCATGGCTTACAGAGGAAGAATTCTGTTCCATTTCCCCATGGAGTTATTTATTTTCTGAAATTGTAAAGAATCTTTCTCTGAAGGTATTGATACCAAAAGTATAAAATTTGATGGAAAATTTACAGAATTACACAATCCATAATAAACATTCCTGGGACTAAAACATTTTCTGTGTTCATATTAGTCACATCCCCAGGCCTTCCATTTTGATTTCTTATTCACACAAGAAAAGATGATTTACTATATTTTTCAGATAACAAAATATAACCAGGAAGATTGGTCATAGTTTACAGCATCAATAACTTCCTACCTTTATCTAAATATTCTTAGTTTATAAAGTTCAACGTAAACACTTAAGTCTACACTTCCCCTACCCTTTCTAAAACAACCTTATTCATCTGCAATCCTGCTTTGTCTTACCCTTAATTCTTTCAATAATATCTACCTAACACTGGTATACTCAGCAGTTTTTTTGTTTTTTTTTAACACGCCGGCCATCTCCTACCAAAGCAGGGTGACCCAAAAAAAGAAAAAACTTTCATCAACATTCCACACTTTCACCATCATTCACACATAATCACTGTCTTTGCAGAGGTGCCCAGATATGAGAGTAAACTGTATGTGTCTTTTTCCACCAAATGTAAATGTACTGATAATTCATAATGAGCTAATGTAATAATACAGTCAATTGGGGTTTGAACCCGCAGTCTGAGATTACCAGCCCTGGATTTTGCGAATGCATTTTACAGTACATTATTTCTTATAAGAAATTATTTTTTCTACCAATCTGTCTGCTGAACACTTTTCACAGTGAGTGCATGTAATACCAGTGTTCTCCCAACAACATTCCCATGCAGTGTGTGCTAAATTATTGCTAAACATCCTCTTTGGTGTGATATAAAGAACAAATGGTAGTACAAGTTTCCTGACCAGTTTAATTGTTAAGCAACAGTATTTTCACTCTTTAAAACACTCAGAATATTTTACCCTTTTTATTAGGAAAACGTGTAATGAGATAGTTGTGAATTTTGTGTGGAAACCTAACATCAGCATAAAATAAAATACTTTACAGAGTTACAGCTTAAGATTAATACTATATTTTTATCTCTTGACAAAGGTATTTAATTATGAAAGATAATTTTAATCAAATACTCTACCAATTTATAAAATCACATACTAAACAGCTTATGAAAAGTTTGAGTGTTGTCTGGTAGGTTGCTCATAAGTGGTCTGACCCTGGAAAATATAAAAAAGTTGATCAAAAACTATAAATCAAGTAAGACATTTCATCTTTGTTTAATTTAACTATAAATAATGTAGGATGTTTTTAAACAGTATTTAAAACCTAAGTTCTACATTAGGCTGCTTCAAGAATGAGTGTTTTGAAGTTAATGAATATGCTCCTGATCCAATTAATTAAAGCTACCCTTCCTTTAAACTAATTAAAGCTACCCTAACCTCTGATTATCTCCCATGTCCGAGGCATTGTATAATCCTTACAGGTTTGGCATTTTCCATGAATATAATAATCCCTCCACACTTTCTATATGACATCATTCACCACTATGAACTATGATCCTAAGCTGTTGTAATATAGCATTTCATATAAAGGAGTTGCAAAAATAAAAAAAATATATTCAGCAACATCAGTTGGAGATTTAACCAACCACCTTCCAAAGTTTTCTCTATTTGTACTCTGTTCTGCTTATCAATCACCAGTGTGCAACATAACTAGAATTAGTACATCCTGAGTACGAATGGCATGTTTTGAGAAAAATGCTTTTTCATAAAACTGAAGTATGAAGATTACTAAGTATTTGTTATTATTGATTCATACTTCAGTGGATGTAGGTAGTAGGTTGGTAGACAGCAACCACCCAGGGAGGTACAGTAGGGCCCCACTTATATGGCAGATTAGGTTCCAGGCTACTGCCTGAAAGCGGACATCGCCGGAAAGTAGAACGCCATTTGTTTCCACTTATCAATGTCACATAATAAGTTTACACTAACATATATTAAGTTAGCAATAGAACAAGGCATTAAAAACAATAAAAAGTAAAATACACACACAGTACACTCATTACTTACCTCAAAATATTTGTAGTCTTAATGTAGGTTGAGAAGTGAATAGCGTTTAATGTAAGAAGTTAGGTGTGGTAGGTATGGTAGCCAGCCAGGACACCCCACCCACATGTAATATACTTCAACATTTAAAGAGCCCTAGAGCGATAAAATGCATTTAGTGTACACTCATTACTTACCTTAAAATATTTGTAGTTTAAATGGTCTTAATATAGGGTGCAAGGTGAATAGTAGGGTAGGTAGGTATTGAAGTGTGGTAGGCATCACAATCCTATCTAGCCACCCCACCCACACATTATATACTAGGCATTTAAAGTGCTCTAGAGCGATAAAATGCATATACAGTACACTCATTACCTACCTTAAAATATTTGTAGTCTTAATGTAGGGCGAGAGGTGAGTAAACAAGAATAAACGAATAAATGAGAGAGAAATGAGTACATGAGAGAGGGCAGACGTGAGTTTTGTAAACAAACCAGCCAAACACGTATGGTTTTAGTTCACTCCGGTAAGCCGACTGGAAAAAATCTCACATTTATGTTAATTTATTCTACTGTGGGTAAATTTATCATGTTAATATGTTACATAGAGTGTTTATTATATAATTTAAAAAAATATAGATGGATTAAGCAAACTGTCTATATTAACGTTGTATACGACATTTAACCCTTTGACTGTCGCAAGCCCATTTCTGAAACTGTCATTCTATGTCGCAAAATATAAAAAAAAAAATTATTTTTTCTTACCAAAATGTTAGGATTATTTTACTGAGCATTTTAAGCCGCCTAAAAAAAAAATTTCCCATCAGTACTTACCGAGATACAGAGGCGCAAAGTTGGCAGAAATGAGCTGCGTATGGCAACAGCGGCGAATGCCGCTCACCCGGTATTCTTTTATTTACTTCAATTTGAAGGTTTCTTGTTTTTCCAATATTTTTCATTTCTAGGTAACTTATGTGGCCTGTGAGAGCAAAGTAAGGTGCACTGTTCAAATATACACTCATTGTTTACAACACAATAACTGCACAAACATTATCACTATTACACTGTTCATAAACAAACAATACAAAACACTGTTTATTACTATTGTTCTATAATATATATACATATGTACAGTCACTGAACACTTTCTTAGAACTGCTGCAGCTTGTGGAAATCTCTGAAACATGGGTATATGCAGAGTGGTACTTGACACTCCTCACACATAAAAATGAGTGTCTGCGTTTTTGTGGGCGTTTTGTGGTATGTCCACATACAAAACACCTTTTCTGAGTACTCTCCTTGAAAGCAGGAGGAAGCATTTGTATGGGGTAGTGATCACCAGGCCTTAAATGAGATGGCATGTGTTGGTAATTTCGTGGGCGCTGGTCTATTGCAGGTGTTGCTCCTTGGTACTTGATTATTATTCGTCTGATGACTGACAAACAAAATCACCATATTTTGGTTTGTTGTTGGTCTGCAACTAGTATATGTTATAAGCATTCAGCATGGAAATATCAAGATGGACAAAAAGTTTTATGTACCACTTATAAATCTTGCGTACACAATCAGCAAACCCAATCTGCATGTCACATTTGTCCACTAAGCACATATTGAGGTTGTAGTCCAATGACAGCTGCAGGTTTTAGAATGGGTTCATTGGTCTCTCTATTCTGCCTGCCACTGTCTGCCATTTCATTTCGGTGAACTGATGTCAACAATGTGACATCACGTTTGTCATGCCACCGAAATGCCATGATGTCATTGGCAGCAAAGGCCTGCACCTCACCTCTGCGAGTGCCAGCGTCGAACCTTGGCATATGCTTACGATTACCATGCACTGTGCCACATACATCTGTCATGTTCACTCGCAAGAAATCACTGTGTAAGGGGCTTGTGTACCAGTTATCAGTATATAATACTGTATATGCCCCTTATGAAGATATGGTTCCATCATTGTTCTAACCACATCACCAGAGATACCCAATAAAAACTTCCTGGTATCTCTCAATGTATTACTGCCAGTGTACACAATTATATTCAAAACCAGACCACTTTTGCAATCACACAGTACAAATAACTTTATACCAAAGCGTTTCCTCTTGCTTGGTATGTGCTTGAATGAGTCTTCCTTTGAACAAAATCAAAGACTCATCAATAACAAGCTTCCTGAAGGTATAAAAATACATACAGCACTTTTGTTTCAGGTACATAAACACATTTCTGATCTTATATAACCTGTCGCTTCTGTCAGGCCTTGTTTTGTCTGAAAAGTGAAACGTATGTAACAGTATCAAAAAACGATTCACCCCTATATCACTAAAACCTGGGGTTGAAATCAGGCGTTCCATCGACCAGTATGTGGTGACAGTATGCTTATACACATGTGGCATAAGCATTATTGTGGCAAAGAACAGGTACATCTCTGCCACAGTTGTGTCCTTCCACTTGTGTAGCTGTGACCTTGGTGAAAGAATTGTATTTGCCATGGTGTACTCGTAGTATGTGTTGCTTTCTCTGACAATGATTTCCATCAGGGGTTCATCAAAGAATAACTGAAAGCATTCTAGTTCAATGGCATTGTTCCCAAGTGTACACGATGGCGCCGTATTCCACTTCGTTTCATCAAAGTCATGGGGATTGGGAATAAAATTGTCACTTTGCTGCCAATCCCAGATGTGGTCTGCTGGTGGGTTCTGGATATTGAAAAGTGGTTGTGGTTGTGCAGGTTGTGGTTGTGGTTGTGGATGTTGTGGGAGTGTGGGGTTGGGTGAGGCTGGTTGTGCTTGTGCAGAGTCAGCAGCATCAGTAGTAGTGTGGCCCGCTGCTGGTGCCACATGACTCGTGCCACCGCCAACATCACCACCATCATCACCTTCTTCCCCACGCACATTACACATCCCCATTGTAACAATATCGTCATCTTCACTGTCAGGTCGTGGTGTAGGGCCACGGGATGTACTCCCAGATTTACTCCTTTGCCTTGGAAGGGCATAAGGCACACTACCAGAACACATGCTGTGTCGTACATATTGCAGTTTCACTGGCAAATATTCCCCCTCACTGTCGCAACTCGAGCTGCTTTCAATAACTTTAAAATCACTATCATTATCACTTTCACTGCTCAGATCTGAGTCCTGTAAATGGGAAAATAGTTTCCTTTTTCGTCTTGGTACAGGTTAACGTGAATGAGATGTCCCAGCACCAGAGGTGGATGGTTGTGGTCATCTGGGTTTTCATCACTAATTATGTTATCCTGGGCACTGCTTTCAGTCACACCCTCTCTAAAACCATGAAATTCACTTTCATTGGCACTTCCATCGCTGTTAGAACTATCACTTGGGAACAGTAGACCTCCAATCTGTCAAGAAGTGAGGTACTTCTTACCATGAGGCATGGTGAAAATGGACTACCAAGATGGCATTCCACAATGCACCACTGAGTCCCAGATTTTTTTCACGGGGTGCACACCCACCACACAAACCCATTCTCTCTCCTGTAGGCCTACCAGCTTTCTCCCGCTTGATCTGAAGCCGCTAGAATTTACGCGTATTAATACGTCTGAAACATTGGCTCGTAAGACGTATTTATACAACCGAAACAGTCAAAGGGTTAATGCACCTCAGAGTAATTATGTATTATTAGTATTATTAATATGGCATCTTCAAGACTAATAAGACACTCTTAGTGATTTTAATGTGTACCTGCATGCCAAACACAGTGTGTAAGTTTACTTAGGTACAGGTACACATAAGTATAATTATCAGAGTACGTATATATAAAATATGAAACATGTAACTTTAAAACACTTGAAATTTTGGAAAGTTTCCAAACATAATGGAGAAACACTGTGCTTATGGAGAATGTAAACAAACCGGGTAGCGGGCGCCATATTAGAAAGGTGGGGAGTCGTATAGAGAGATTTGGTCATAATTTGAAATCGCCGTATTAGCGGAATGTCGTAAGGCAAAATGCCGTAAAGCGAGGTCCTACTGTACTACCGTCCTCCCCAGTGAGTGTGACAATAAATACAGTATTACTTAAGGGAAATTCTATCCTCAGAATGCTTTTCACAGTATACTAGATTGATCTGAAGTCTACTTACATAAATTTTTTGAAAGTTGAGTAAATATAAAGTAATAATTTTCATGTTATGTTTGGAAGTGAGTTATCCTTTTTCCCATCAAGCAAGCACATAATGATACGTAGACTGAACATTGCATATTCCTAGGACAGAGTTTTAAGTATCAAATGCTCCTGTCTAATAAGTTACAAAATTTTGAGCTTTTACAATAGGATTAAATTCACAGAAACAAAATAAAAACATATTTTAATTTTGAAGGGAAGAATTTTTATAAGAGAAGTCATGCTCACTTTTCTTCTTTTGAAGACACTCCCAATGATAAATACACAAATCACAGTAAGTTGGAACTTCATGTATACTAAATAAAGAATAAAGATATAAATCCTTCAGTGAGTTCCTTCAAGAGTTTTTCTAGTCCCAGTGCCAGGTCTTGGGTCAAGCTCATCGTGGAAAGTGCATGTGCTGACCCCTTGAGAGTATGGTAATTAAATAGCAACCATCTCCCTCAAGGGAGAATCCTTGATGCCTGTGAGGGGCTTTTATTCCAAAAAATTGGTCCTGCCCTCCCCTTACAATGATTAAACTTTATTGGCTCCCATTACCACAAGTGCTGTCTGACCCCTATGGATTTAGTGGTCCCATGAATATAATTACGTATAAGAAATAGCAATACAGATGGTTTGTTTCTAGTTTTCAGATCATTTTGAACTTTCAACTTTATATTACCATTTATAGTACTTATGAATGAAAACTGAACCTAAGGGGAAATTATTTTAGAATATAGAAATTCAAAACTATTTAGTATGAAACCTTAAAAATCTGATACATACCAAATATCCCCGAGACAATGCAAGGGCTGTGTGTAATTCTTCGTCTTCTGGGTACTGCCAGCAGTGGAAGGAGCGAGTTGGGTCATCATGGCCATGGCTAGCATCCTGGGGACAAAGTAAAGCTAGAAATACTGCACTGTTTGATTATTATTTTACAAAAAAAAAAATGTACAGCAAGAGGAGACCTCTTAGTATCATTATATTTCACTTACAAGAGGCTCTATCAAGTGTGTACAAAACAGATTTAAAGTATTCAGTGCTGAAAGGTAGATACATCACATGCCAGGCAAAGGTGAGATCACATGTAGGTGAGGCGTTCCTCCTCATTGACAGTTTTCACTATAAATTGAAACTAAAATAAATCCTGTACCTAATCTACAGTAAATCAAAATTTTCAAATCAAAATGGCATTCAAATGATCCTGACAGCATAGAGAGCATTATAAAGTACAGTGGACCCTCAGTTTTCGTGATTAATCCGTTCCAGAGAGTCTGACGAAACTGAAAATCACGAAAACTGAAATAATTTTCCCCATAAGAAATAATGTAAATCCATTTAATCCATTTCAGACACCCAAAAGTATTAATAAAAAATACGTTTTACAGAGAATAACTATAGTTTTACATACAGAAAACAATGAGAAATAAATATAAAGCACTAATGAAATTGATAAATGAACATTTAAATCACTTTTACTTTTATTGAAGTCTTGTTGGTGTATGGAAAATGGCGAGGAGCAGAGAGGGAGGAGAGTTTATTGTCTGGAGACAGGACAAAATGCTTAAATGTGACATTAATATTAACTTTACAGCTTATTTATCTATCACAATTCTTCTAATATGACATAACAAACAATATTAATAACACAGTAACATGATATATACTCTAGAATGAATAAAATGTCATTACATATCTGGTGGTGGTGGTGTTGTTGTTGGGTTTATCAGGGCCACTGACAGCATAAGGCGTACATATAGTGGTGGTGGTGAGGGCAGCAGAGGCCACCACCACTATTCACACTGAAACAATGTATGCAATTTATAAACAAGAAATATTTACACTTTAATTTATAAATAAGAAATATTTACACTATAAATAAGAAATGTTTACTCTTACCTTGGAGGAGATGCTGGCATTGGTTTAGGGTGGTGGAAGATACACAGGCAGCATATGTTGCCAGTGGCCCTACATACCTCCAACAACATTGGAGGAGTTAGTTTCATGTCTTTTTTTATCGCTTAATTGCTTAACTTACTTGTTACACACATTCTCCCTCTCTCTTCCTCCTCCACTTTGGTACTTTGCTACAAGTTTTTTCTTGAATTCTATCATGTTTCTCACCTTCTTACCATAGGGCTGGCACTAAGAGCTTTCTTTTGGCAGATGGTGGCTTATTTAGCAGTCACACACAATAAACAAGTGCAAAAAATTGGATTATTACAAAATTTTTCGTATGACCTCGCAGGGTAATATTCACTCGCTGAAAAACAATTCCTCACAGACTCAGAACGATGTGTGGGAGGCTTAGTGTGCGAGCAGCCACTCAGACACGTTCCATACAACCAAAGAAACTAGAGGGAATTAACGAAAACAGAGACTATTTTGACGAAAAAAAGTCGGTGATAACCAAAAATCAGAGGGTCGAAAAAAGTCGGTGATAACCAAAAATCAGAGGGTCCACTGTATAATACTAGTACATGCGATCTAATGAGTTATTCAGTAAAACCCATAATAAAGTACCATCATATATATGGTAGTTGCTAGATCATGTTATCTCACTGTAAAAGATGTTCAGTTACAATCTTCATTGTATTCAAAACATGAAACTGATATAAAAAAAATAATGTTAACAAACCTTTTTCAATAATTCACTCATGTCAGATGTCAGTGACCATTTAAAAAGAAACTGTTCTTTACTCAAACATTTTCAATAGTGTATAACACATAAAAGACATTTCTCAACATACCCAAAACCAAATAACACTGATCTTTTCTTAATCACTGACAAGTAAACTCGCCCAATTCCAAGGTCATACAGGGAATAAAAATTCCAAGCCATAATCAGTGACAGTTCAAAAGCAGAGCTTTCCATTTCACAGCTGACAGATGATTCAAGAAAAATTGCAGTCAGGGGACATTTGACTCAATACCATGGTATATCAGTTAAGGGTTATTTCTGAAGGCCCAGCATCAAAATCCAGGACCTCTTGTCACGTGAAAACTCACCATAATGTATCACATTCTATACATTACTCAAAAAATCCATACCAGTATATTACTATAATCTCAGTGCTCGGAGATGGGAATATCTGTAAAAGTACTTTTTCTTTAACACACTGGCAATCTTCCACTGAGGTAGGGTGACCGAAAAAGAAAAAAAACACTTTCATTGGTGCTCATTCAATCACTGTCTTGTTAGAAATGTGTTGATATTACAGTTCAGATGGCCCCCTGAACTGCAGCATTCATACTCCTCCCAAGTGCAGGCCCACCTCCAGGACTCAAGTCCAGCTAGCTCTTTTCTCTACCTTCAGAATTGTTGCCATGATCTAACTTCAACAGCACATCATCTATTATTACAAAATACATGCATAGTGTGCTGTACAAAAGTAGTCTCTTTATAAAGTAGTTTACGTTCTTCTTCTTCTTCTTTCAACAAAACGGCCGTATCCCACCGAGGCAGGGTGGCCCAAAGAGAAAATAGAAAAGTTTCTCTTTTTAACCCTTTGACTGTCGCAAGCCCCTTTCTGAAGCTGTCATTCTGTGTCGCAAAATTTTTGGGAAAAAAAAAATTATTTTTTCTTGTGAAATGATAGAGAATCTTTTCCAATGGTAATGACATCAAAAGTACGAAATTTGGTCAAAAACTCACGGAATTACGCTCCTGCGAAGTTAGCAGTCTTGGCGACATATACGCATCGGCGATTTTGCCGACTTTGAGCCCTTTAAAAAAAAACCATACCACAGGCGGGATTTGAACCCGCGGTGGGTTCAAATCCCGCCCGTGGTATGGTTTGTTTGCAATCATGTCATCATAATTTTGTGAGTCATGTTTGAGCCCTGTTTTTGACCACTTCCGTTGTTCCAGTTGACCAAACTCATAACTATTTCTTTAGAACTCCATTTTTTCTATCAGTTGAGTACAAGAAACTGCCCATTTACATATTTGAACTACCCAATAAAGTGGTCAGAAATTGGCAATTTGGCCAATTTTGCGCAAAATAAAAAAGATGCCAATTTCAAAATAGGTCCAGAATAAACAATGTAGACATTCTTGGCACTAAAATAACATATCCTCTGTTCATTAGTCATGTCTCTAGGCCCCTCTTATATTACTATTGCTTTCTATTTTGATTTTTTATTCATACAAAAAATACAAAATTTACCATTATGCACACTACTGTATTATTGTAAAAATGGTATAAATAATATCAGTGCACTTGTGAAAGAATATTAGACTCCCCAGTTGACGTGTATTGGACTTGTGGTGTGATTTGCTTACTCTTCAACATTGGTAAAAATCGAACATTTCCGCTACTTTGAGCTCAATTTCAAGGTCGTTTTCATCGAGAAAGTAATCAAAATCATCCCTATTTCTGTAATATGTTTTCCATTTTATCATGTGAGACCATGAAAACGAGAATACAGTGATAATTACTGTACAAAAATACACCTCAAAGTTGGCGTTTTAATCCAAAAAAAGTCAGTTTTTTTTTTTTTTATTATGCACTGCATGCCGCAGGATTTTTTTATGTGATGCACACTGACCACACAGACCCATTCTCTCACATGTGGGCCTACCAGCTTTCTCCTGCTTAATTTGAAGCCGCTAGAATTTATGCGTTTAAATACGTCCGAAACAATGGTGCGTAAGATGTATATATACGACCGAAACAGTCTTAGGGTTAAATTTAGTAATTCATACAGGAGAAGGGGTCACTAGCCACTTGCTCCCAGCATTTTAGTTGCCTCCCACAACATGCATGGCAGAATTATATACAGCCTCCCTCACTTAACAAACAAGTCCCATTCCTTTTTCCATGGTAAACGATTTCGTCGCTAAGTGAGGAACATTCTATAATGGTAGTGGGTTTGTGTCAATCATCTTTGATATTGTTTTTATGTTGCCTTTGCACCATTTATAACATTTCTGGTATATTTTTAAAAGTTTATACAGTAGTGTAATGTATAATGTAATAAACAGAATAGAGGAAATCAGCTCTAATATGCATTATATAGGTATGCATACTAGTCAAGAAAGCATGTTGTAAGTCTGAGTCATCGGTAAAAGAGTACATCTTTAAGCGAGTAGAAGCTGTATATAAAAAAAAAAAAAGAGAACCAATATCCTAAAATGCAAAGTGGAAAAGAGCTTCAAAATACTGTCTCACAATGTAGTGCAACAAAAAAAAGAACAGATCAGAAAGTAATACTTCATAAAATGTCACAATAGATTTTATTGTGACAGCTCCTTGAAGCAAAATATCTGTGATAAAGAAAGATTGTATCAGGTTATGAAAAGGAATAATTTAAGTTTTGAACTAAAACTCATAACTAACTTTGCAAAATGTAAGGTGCACTGCCATCTGGAAGTCCAGCTCATCTTGCAATGTCATTGTCTCAGGATCCTTATTAATCATCTCGGGGGAAAAGCTTGCTGCTCTAGAGCTTTCCTCTGCAAACTGATGAGACCTTTGTGAAGTGCTGTGATGACTGTTTGAATTTTCTCGACGTGATGATCCTCGGTATACATTCTTCAATGAAGAAGTGACCTGGGGTACACTATTTAAAGGATGTGGGGAGTTAATATTCTGTGATTTCTGTAATGTCTTATGTGGCACATGGCAAGATTCTGGAGAGACAAATGACTTGGGTTTAACATCTGGTGGAGAGTTCATTGTCTCACTAGTAGATGCACTTCTTTGTTTGGACTGAACCACACTGAGTAAACTGTAGTTCACAGGCAGAGATGATATGGCCTTTATAGCATTTGCCTGGAAAATACAAAAAAAAAACAAATACATGAGCAGCCACTGAGCAATCAATCAACATATATCAGACAACCTACAAAAGGGACTTGATACTGAAGGGCTCTTTATCAAAGGAATTGGAGCTACCTTACCCTTGCTTGGATCAAATCTGATTACCTCTCGTTACCCTACAAATTAAGTACTGCATGACCCTTTAAGGGTTTAGAGCTTCCCCAAGAATAAAACAGTACATCACTGATTATCTGGCCACTTTGAGGAAGATGTACTGGAGTTTCAACAATACCAGATGATTAAAATGTTTATGGTCCCATTGTTTTGCCAGGTATTGGCCCCATTCACCTAGCAAGCAAGCAGAGGTTCCACTGTACATTCATTACTTACTGGTAGGTGTAGCCCGCCTGGGCTATGCCTACCGGCTACCTGCACCGTGGCCCAGTTATTACCATTGACATACCATGTTCACCTGGGTGTTAGTTGACTGGTATGGGTTGCATCCTGTGGGACAAGATTGCAGGACCCCAATTCAAATTCAAAAAATTATTTCTTGTGTAGTTTACATGTAGTAAAATACTGTTAAGCACACAAAAAGCCACTAGTATGCATGAGCATTTTGGGCAGACTAATACTACTTAAAACCAGACACAGGTTATGGAGTGGTGAATTTTAACCCTTTGACTGTCTCAACCCCAAATCCTGAGGTGTCTCCTAATGTCACAAAATATTTGAAAAAAAAAAAATTATTATTATTATGAAATGATAGATCTTTTCCAGATGGTAATGACACCAAAAGTATGAAATTTGATGGAAAACTTACGGAATTACGTTCTTGCGAAGTTAGCAACTTCGGTGACATTCACGCACCGGCGATTTCACCCACTTTGAGCCCTATTTACGGTTAATTCTATTGTTCCAGTCCACCAAACTCATAGCTATTTTTTTAGAACTCCACTTGTTCTATCGATTGAGTACAAGAAACTGCTCATTTACCGATTTCAACTACCCAATAAAGTGGTCAGAAATTGGCAAGTTAGCCAATTTCATGCAAATTAAAAAATGTGTTTATATGCTATGTAACGTGTTTCTTATATAATTTTGAAGAAAATATAATAGATGAATTAATGAAAATGTCTATATTGACATAAAATTAGACATTTAATGTGCCCAAGAGTGATTATTATTACATAATAGAGAGATGTGCTCATGGAGAATGTAAACAAACCAGGTGGCCTGCGCCATATTTGAAAAACCACTTGCCGTATAGAAAGGTTTGGTCATAATTTGATATCGCCGTATTAGCGGAACACCGTAAGGCGAAACGCCGAAAAGCGGGGCCCTACTGTACTTGTTTCCACTCATTTTGATCTAACATGCTCACACAAGTGTACTGGATGTTCAAGCACCTTAAACTGAAAACCTTTAATACTCCTTTCTCTAGCCCTTCCTGAGACAATCCCCACTCTTCCTTTGCACCCTCTTGGTCATCCTATTCTGTCCCATCATCTTTAAATGCTCAAACCACCTCAATAACACCTTCTTAGCTCTCTGAATTATATTTTTTGCAGCTCCAGTCCATCTTCTAATTTCTGCACTCTGCAAAATACTCACACCACATACTGCCATCTCCACTGCCTCCAGCCATCTCACTGCAACATTTAAAGTCCATGCTTCACACCCATTCAAAAGTGTTGGTACCATAATACTCTGGTACATTCCCCAGGTTTTGAGAATTTTTCACCTCTTTGGCTAGCCAAGCCTGGAACCAGGCTGTTGATCAAGGTTTTACTACCTATGGTATAAGCCTGCTGTAAAGACTATGCAATATATTGCACACTTAGTACTGTACTGTAATCAGGTTTAACTGTTTGCTCAGGTCTTTTGTGGATAAAGTAGAGTACTGTTGCAAGATGCAAGACACTAACCTTCTTGCACTCAGGACATCCAAGGTTGGATTGCTTGTAGAGGTGGCCAATACATGAAGTGCAGAAGGTGTGACCACAAGCAGGCAAGAGTAGTGGACGGTGAGCATTGTTATCAAACTCTCCCAAGCATACACGGCAGGTAAGATTTATATCCATATCCTGAAAACAAACCCTTAATATTAATTCACTTGTAAGTCAATATGAGCAAGACACTTGTGCCTCATAAGAGTTCTGCAGCCTATACTGTCAAGCAGGTGCAAGATATGCCTTAGTGCTGTTAGTTTCTTGGCTACCTTGCTAGAAAGATTTATTACATGGTTCTTCAATAACTGACTTGGACCTATTAAAAACCCATAAAACAGACAGGGAGTATGAAACCTTACCCGTCCTCAGGAAAATTAACTAAACTCAAATATTTATGCTGTTTTGAACCCAATTTCAAGCTACTCCCAGTTATGAAACCAAAATCATCTCTACTTCAGTAATATGTCTTCCATTCTATCAAATGATATCAAGAAACACAATAAAACCATAAAAAATATCCTAGAAAACTCCAAGTTGCTATTTTAAACCAAACATAAGGTCAGAGTATTGCTTTTCCCATCATACACTGCATGGGGCAGGATTTTATTATACTGTGCACACTCACTGCACAGACCCACTGCAGATTAGCTGCTCACAGCTAATCTAAGTGAGCTAAGCTCATGACAAACTATGTGAGGGACCCTGGCCTCAATGACATAGGTCTATGTGATGGCCACTGAAGGGTTAAGAAGGGATTACAGTTAAGCTGTTATGGATTTCCTCTCACACAGGCCTCCAGGAGCATGACAATGTTGATGATTTAGCTAAACAAGCATTAAATAAAGTGAATGCTGATTATAATTTGTTTTTTTTTTCAAACAGAAGTTTATAAAACATTTTCAGAAAAGAACTAGTAAATAAGCTTGAAGAAAGTAGAAGAATACAGAGAAGAACCAGCAGATCCATTATCCATCAAAATAAAATGTGTAAAGTTTAGATTGCAGGATGTTACTGTTCTATTAAGGCTAGGCTATAAGTATCTTAAGGCAGTACAGTTTGTATGGAGACATCAATGATATATATAAAATGCAGTATATAGACATAGACAGTACTATACAATGGAACATATCTTTGTATCCAAACATCCAACCTTTCAGAGACACCACCTTGAAAACCTTACAGGACATGGCACAACACATCATTGTTAACCCTTTGAGGGTTTCGGCCGTACTAGTATGGCTTACGACCCAGGGTTTTTGACGTACTAGTACGCCTAAATTCTAGCACCCTCAAATCTCGTGGGAAAAAGCTGGTAGGCCTACATATGAAAGAATGAGTCTATGTGGTTAGTGTGCACAGTATAAAAAAAATCCTGCAGCACACAGTGCATAATGAGAAAAAAAAACTTTGACCATTTTTTTGGGAATACAACAGCGACTTTGCACTGTATTTTCGTATGGTATTTATTGTTGTATTCTAGTTTTCTTGGTCTCATTTTATAGAATGGAAGACATATTACAGAAATTGAGATGATTTTGACTGGTTTTACAATGAAAAGTACCTTGAAATTGAGCTCAAAGTAGCAGAAATGTTTGATTTTTACCAAAGTTCAAAAGTAAACAAATCATGCCAAGCGTCCAATACACGTCAACTGGCGAGTCTAATATTCTTTTGCAAGTGCACCAATATTATTTATACCAGTTTTTACACTAATGCAGTACTCTGCATAACAGTAAATCTATTTTTTGTGAGAAAAATTCAAAGTGGAAAGCAAAAGAATGTAAGAGGGGCCTTGAGACGTGACTAATGAACAGAGGAAATGTCATTTTAGTGCCAGGAATGTCTTTCTTGTTTATTCTGGACCCTATTCGGAAATTGACATCTTTTGAAATTTGTGTGAAATTGGCAAAATTGCTAAATTCTGACCACTGTACTTGATAGTTGAAATTGATAAATGGGTGGTTTCTTGCACTCATTCGATAGAGAAAATGGAGTTCTAGTGAAATATTCATGTTTTTTTGTCAACTAGTACAGTGGAATTGGCCGAAAATGGGGCTCAAATTGGGCAAAATCGCCGATGCGTAAACATCGCCGAGACCGCTAACTTCACGAGAGCATAATTCCCTAAGTTTTCCATCAAATTTCAAACTTTTGGTGTCATTATGATCGGGAAAAGATTCTCTATCTCTTCATAAAAGAATTTTTTTTTTTTTTGAAATTTGGCCAACCCTGAGAACGAGTCTTGGAGAGGGCCTGTCGACCCTCAAAGGGTTAATAAGATATCTGAAATACTGAGGTTGTATCCACTTTTTGCACTGACTAGATCAGGGGTAGGCAAACTTTTCAGTGCAGGGGCCACATTCAGAAATTCACAATTTTAAAGGGCTGCATAGTATATTAAGTAAAATAATTAATACAGAATTTAAAAAAAGACAAAATAAAAGTTTTTTAAATAAAAAAGCAATTAATTTTTTAAAGTAGTATATGACTTGATCTTGGCAGGCCGCATGCAGCTCGCGGGCTGTAGTTTGCCCACTGGAGGACTTGATGAATAAACAGTTTTTACAGAGAAAATTGCAACCCAATTATGATCATTGTTTTTAATGAATAATACCAATTTTATTTTTAGTTTGACTTCCATACTGTATTGTGTACATTAACTACATGTAGCAAACATTAAACATGAAAAGACTAATATTTCTTTATAGTTATCAATCAGGCTTCAGATCTTACTTGATTGAAACCTCCCTAATTAATCTGATGGACTATCTGAGAACTGAAATATCACTAAGGAATCTCATAGGTATGGTGACCTTAGACTTACAAAAGGCCTTGATACAGTCAACCATAATACGCATATGTATTACGTAAGAAACTACAAGCTATCGGCATAGGTTCTGTAGATTAGTTTACATCCTACCTAAGCAACAGGAAATAAGTCATCAAGATCAACAACACAGAATCAGAACCCTTACCAATAACATGTGGGATTCCCCAAGGTAGTACTCTGGGTTCCTTATTGTTCAAATGTTATATGAATGACATGTCAATCAGTATCAAGTCTAAGCTTCTGTTGTATGCAGACGATAGTGTTCTGTTAATGTCAGGTAAAGACCCACAAGATAATAGCTAATGTACTATCACTAGAACTAGAGTCCTGCAGCAAATGGTTGGCAGACAACAAATTACTGTTACACCTCAGGAAGCTATACTCTTTGGCACAAAAAGAAGCTGAAGAGGGTAAATGATTTTATGTCCAGTGCAATTGGGAACCCATCATTTCAGCATCTTCAGTGAAATATCTGGGAATCTTATTTGACCCAAGCATGTCAGGAGAACTGATGGGAAACAACACAGTAAAGAAAGCAAATGTCCAGACTAAAGTTCCTTTACAGACAGGAACAGTGAGGCTTGCAGGACCCTATGTCTAGCTCTTATACAATGCCACAAAGATTACTTTTGCTTTTCATGGTACTCTGCCTTAACAAAAAACTGAGAGAGACTACAAAATGTGTGATAAAGAAATAACAGGAAAAGTTGGTAGATGGATCTATAACTTACTGACAAATAGAACACAAAGAGTAAAAGCAAACAGAGTAAAGTCCAAGGCAGCTACAGTGAAAAGCTCTGTTCCACAAGGCACAGTACTCACTCCCATCCTATTCCTCATCCTTATATGACATAGACAGAGATGTAAGCCATAGCTCCACGTCTTCCTTTGCGAATGACACCCGAACTGCCATGACAGTGTCCTCCAGCGAAGACACCTCAAGACTCCAAGCGGACATCAACCAAATCTTCAAATGGGCCACTCAAAACAATATGAAGTTCAATGAAGAGAAATTTCAACTACTCATATATGGAAAACTTGAGGAAATTAAAACTGTATCAGGGTATACAACAAATTCTAACCATACAAAAAGCAAAAAAGTAATGATAATGGGAGTGATAATGTCAGAGGATCTTGGCTTCAAAGACCACAGCGATGTATCTACCACATCTGCTAGGAAAATTATAGGATGGATAATGAGAATCTTCAAAACTAGGGATGCCAAGCCCATGATGATTCTCTTCAAACTGCTTGTTCTCTCTAGGCTGGAATACTGCTATCCACTAACTGCTCCCTTCAAGGCAGGCGAAATTGCTGACCTGGAGAGTGTACAAAGAACTTTCACGGCACACATAATTATGATAAGGCACCTAAATTACTGAGAACAGTTGAAGTCCCTTGATTAGTATTCCCTGGAAAGCATATGAGGGAGATACATGATAATATACACTTGGAAAATTCAAGAGGGATTAGTACCAAACTTACACACAAAAATCACTCCCTATGAAGGCAAAAGACACAGCAGGAGATGCAACATTTCCCCAATGAAAAGCAGGGGTGCCACGAGTACACTGCGAGACAACATAATAAGTGTCAGGGGCCAAGACTGTCCAACTGCCTCCCAGCATACATAAGGGGGGATTACCAATAGACCCCTGGCTGTCTTCAAGAAGGCACTGGACAAGCACCTAAAGTCAGTACCTGACCAGCAGGGCTGTGGTTCATACGTCAGTTTGCATGTGGCCAGCAGTAACAGCCTTGTGGATCAGACCCTGATCCACCACGAGGCCTGATCTCAGACCGAGCCGCGGGGGTCATTGACCCACGAAACCCTCTCCAGGTATACTCCAGGTAAAACACCCAGAACAAAATGGTGAGATTCATCCTGGACCTGGGTCCAAGAGAGCATGTAAGCGAGGATGAATTACAACAACTGGATATGGTGAATGTTGACGACAGAGTAAAACAACTGAAGTTAAATCACATTTATAAAATTGCTCACAGTCTACAATATCTTGCTACCAAGTCTGTCAAGGCTGGGAACAAAAACAAGCATGGTACTAGGGAAAGGGAACACAACTTTGTAATATCCACAGTAGGTGGTCAGATTTCAAACACCTTTTATTGTACAGCAATACAGTAGTGGAAAAGACTGCCTGCACAAGTCAAAGCCTGCCATAGCAAGAACCAGTCCAGAAAGAGAACTAAAAGTTACTTAATGAATGAAGCTACAGAAAGTGAGGAAAGTGATTTCTTGTATAGCTAACATTCATGTACCTATTACTGTTATTACTGTGATCTGATC